GGTAAGAGGAATACACAAGCTCTAGAAGTAGCCAACTGAATACGGCTAAGCTTGAAGGCGATACCGGGTGTGAAAGCAGCGAAAGAGAAAGGTGCGTTGTCGCTTTGGAGTACGAAAATTCTGCCTCACCACATGATAGAAACTTCAAGTGCGGAAAAAATCTCTTCCACCTTCCAAGGAAAAGGATAGGTTCCTTGCCTTCCTTGATACTATCGGGGTCGAAGGGATGAGTGAAGAGGAAAGTGAGGATGACTCACAGTTATCGGTGTTTAAAGTCACTACGCCCGCCTGGAGAAGTGAAGAATTGACTATATTTCTCCATAATCTGGTTCCCCCTTCATCACTAGTCTGTCACCGCCGCCTTATCGAAGAAAACAATTGCGGTACGTCCCATATTGCCATGGGTCTCCCCATCAATTTCTATTGTCCACACTGGTTATCCCATTATGATCAAACTGGGGCCTTTCGCGAGGGTGCGGTGGAGTCATTCCCTTTACTGTTGGAAGACGGACAGCCGGATAGCATCAGACCACGCTATGAGCCGTAGTGGTGGTGGCTATGCCTGCCTCATTCGTTGCCTTTCACGCACGTCTGAGGTAAGTAGCCAATCCTTTTGTTCATGCGCATCGTAACTCATGATGTACACCTTCCTAGACCTTGTCATCTGTTAGGTATAGTGTACACGATTCGTTGCCTTTCACGCACGTCTGAGACCTTGTCATCCGTTAGGGCTTCTGACATTTACCAGGCATTCTGAACACTAGCTAGTTACAACAGCACTCTTGAATCGTCATTGTCATTGTGATCAAGTCAATGCAAATCAAGGGAGCTAGCCGAATTCGTTGGGAGTCAACGATGGTCATTCTTATCAGAGACTTCTGAATGGAGAGGCTAGGAATCGTTTAATTGATAATGAAATTCTGATTCTAAATCTAACGACTGAAATCACTTGTAAGCCTTTATATAATAGAAAATTTACAACAGAGTGATGTTCAATTCTTCGCTTTGAATGAGATCTACAGGGTTTAGATGGCGACTACGGAATAGCCATAGAGGAAAGGTGAGCCTAGGGGATCTAGTTTTCATCTCAAGGTACTCACTTTACAATTCCGCCTCAAGATTAATATCACGGACCAATAAACGCGACGCCCGACGCTGGGCTTGGCAGATTACTGAGGAATGGATGACGCACACACGGAAGTTAGAGACTTACGTTAGGCAATATAACTTTATTTGTCCATAGGTCACATAAACGCGGTGATAGCTGCCTTCCGGGGACATAGGTATCTGACGACAAAAAAGGGACAGTGCCGCCCCAAACGACAAGCGGAAGCAACGACAACATACCATGTAAGGAAAGCGCTTGCAATGCCCACATCGGCCCGGCGGAATCCAGAAGCGACGAGGGTTGGTCTATATATGGGGGCAATCACCCCTACCCTTTCCGGTCAGTCAACTATCGTGGCCTTCAATAATGACGGTCCTGGAAAAACCGGTATATCATTCTAAGACGATCACTGGGTTTACAAAGGATTCAAAGGTAGGGCACACGATCTCAATCACACTGCAGACTAATTACATTATCAACGAAGCTTCATTCGACGACGCTGAATCTGGATGAGAATAGTTTGAAAGGACATCTTGGGGAGCACCATTATGTTAAATGGGGCCAGGTAAGAGGAATACACAAGCTCTAGAAGTAGCCAACTGAATACGGCTAAGCTTGAAGGCGATACCGGGTGTGAAAGC